CGAATTGTTGTGTATGAGTGATTTGTATGTATCCCTAAACTCTAACCAATCTGAATAGTTGCCGTTAAATTTAGATATAACAATAGTAGGCAATTTAAAACTAACTTCGTGAGGTCGAAGAGAGACGCTTTGCGTTGAAGACGCCTGGATATTATTTTGGGAATATTGTGAGAGTATTGTTTTTGCTTTCGATAGTAATTGAGTAAATTGTGACTCTGTGGCGTCTCTCTCATCGATTTCATCGTCGATCGTATCAGGGCAAAGCTCATCGATTTTATCTTGCAGCAAATCGTAATTTTGGAATAATTCGGTAACCTTTTGTATCTTAAGTTGTAATTCGTTAAATTGAGATTCCTCGACATTAGGCCCTACTTGTGCAAGATAGTTTTTGAATTTAGTTAGTCTACCTCTGATACTGGTACGTTTGTTTATTAAGCTATCGATATCCGCCATTTTAGACATAATTAGACTAGACAAAAATTGTAAAATGCGGTTGTTGCGTTATACTAAATTTAACTAAGAATTTAAGATGCGTGATAAATAATTGGAATATAGTTACTCAATGCTCCTCGTAATTCAGGCTGACAAGTTACCGGCACTCCATCGGCGTCGGCGAACTAGTAGAAATGTCACGCTGTGGCAAGGCTCGTGGCGGGCGCAATGTGCGTACTCGACCACGTGCTGAAATTGTCGGCCAAAAGCGTGGTATATAATATGCACGGGAATAATGCAAGTTAAATAGCCTGATACATAGAAAATAGGATAGATTAGATAGATAAGTAGGCTGCGTGGTAATTTAAGACGCTTTAACACGATTGTTCGACCAAGGGAGATTGTAAACAATTAGGAGATAGATCAACCTTGGGAAATATGTTTGGAAATATTGTATGCAAGCCTAGCTGGCGTGGTATATGTATATGGAGTATAATATGTAATTTGAAATGTGTGATAATTTGAAAGCAAATAAACGTTTGTTCGACCAAGGGAAATTGTAAACAATTATGGAGATAGATCAACCTTGGGATATATGTATAGAATATTAAATGCAAGCCTAGCTGGCGTGGTATATATGGAGAACAGATATTATGAGATGTGTGGTAATTTGTATGCAAAAAATACACGTTAGTTCGACCAAGGGAAATTGTAAACAATTAAGGAGATAGATCGACCTTGGGAAATAAATGCAATATTAGCTGGCGTGGTACATAGGAAATTAATATTTTGATATAGTATGTACACACATGTAAGGTAAATATATTAGTTCACCAAGGGAAATTGAAATTGTAGATATAGCTCGACCTTGGGAGTTGAGTGAAACATTAGATGGCGTGGTACATATGAATTGAATTTGTTAATAGACTATGTACACACATGTAGGGGGAAATATATTAGTTCAACCAAGGGAAATTGAAATTGTGAATATAGCTCGACCTTGGGAGTTAAGTTTTGTGACATAGATACGTGTGAATCGACAGAAGATTGAATATAAATTGTTATTGATCGACCAAAAGTTGTAGCGAAATATTGCACAGGTTGTAGGCTACAACAAATGGGAAGGATATTTGAAATAGATAAGGAACTTAGCTGAGAAAATAGGAGTCTGGCACGGAGGGATTGCGTCAGCCGGCCGGACCTTTTCTTTCTTCCTTAACACCGCGTGGTAGTTGCTGCACGTGGATATTTACTCGGACTTCTTCACTCGATTTCGTCACAGATGCCACTTCGTGGCTATTGTGGATTGGATGTTTTATCACGGTCACCACTTTATGTTGTTACGGTCGCCACTTTATGTGGCTTATAATCTTCTATTGAAACACACGTATACTATTTCACGGTATTTATTGTATTGAGTGTTACTGTTGCTGTTGGATTTTACACACACTGATCGATGCGGGGGCGCATAAGACGTTGCGCCCGCAGATTTTAGGGGCGGTCCTGTGCGTTGAGTGGGGGAAGCGCGGACCGGTTTCGCAACCCATCATAAAGCGCTGTTTAGGCGCGAACACTATGTTTAAATAAGGCAGAAGACCAGTCTTATATAGTTCTTATATAGACTTATGTACTGTGATTCCACCTCATGCATATACATTTCAATAGCTCTTAATCTGCTTTTTACACTTTACCTTTAAAATGTACCTAATTCCTAGTTGACTGCATTCAAATATTTAAAAAGTTTTATGAAACAATGCTTTATAAAACTATTGTTATAATTTCCTATTTATATGCCATAAACAATGAGTTAAGGGAAACAATGCTGCATTCTACTTTAAGTAAATCACTACTGCATGTTGTATATAACAATTATGTAATAAGTCTCTATATTGAAGGTTCTTAGTCCCTCTCTTGACACAATATCATGAATTGTTTTGCTCTAATATGAACCTATCTGATTAAATCAAACACCCTTCCATAAAATGAACAGAAACAGAATTATTTTTGTCTAATGTAATGTATATTCTTAAGTTTACAATAGTTTAATAATTATTTCATTGTAACAGGTACTCAGATCAAAATTAGAAATGAAGGAGAGACAAAATGTTACAGCAAATGATATAGTCAATATAAAAGGAACCAAAACCAAGAATGTGAAGAAATGTTGCCAGTGATTGTATGCTGGGTATATCAGGGATGTCGCTTACAGAATGCTCAAATGTTGAGACATGTTGCACAACCCTAGCAGGACACTAGTTGGCCGAGAATTTACCGTTTTTGTAACATTGCAAGTTGTCACTGCAAGGTACAAACATGTATTAAAATATCCCGAGAACTTATCCAAGTGCAGTTTCTATTGACAGTATACAAGTTGATCTCTATAAAATATAATTGTGGCGGTGTTAGTTTTATTGGATGTAGCCCTGTCAATGTTCTATAGTTACTGTGACCTATGCAATTATTTACTGTTACTTTGAGTGTTAGTCCTATGTGCTGGGTTGAACAATCTCAAATTTTATGAGCAGTCGCCTAAACAACTCCAAATATTAGTAATGTTATAAATTCATATTGAATTTGCTTGTACTCTATCAAATTGTGGAGTGTATGAAATGGAATATGAAGTGTAAATGTATACCATTAATTTAATTATAAAATTTAATTATTAATTTGATATTATTAAAGTGATGTGTATGGTCCTTATTGTCAAAAGGTCCCTTCACATTTGATAGCTTATTTTATAAAAGTATTATTTTGTTTAACAAGTGTCATATAAGTCCAAATTATTTATTTTTATTTTCAATATAGAGATCACAAAGTATGGAATACTGTTTTCCTTGTCCACCTTTAAAAAGTTATAAATGATTACATAGTTATTTTAATGTCAGTGAAAAAGTAAACATTGAACAAAACTGTTACAATTTGGTTTATTCTAATATTATTTCAACTTTTGCAAGTTTTTTTTGCTAATATACAGATGTTAGGTAATTTTATGTGATGTATAATTCAGAATTAAATATATTATCAACATTTGAATATGAAATTGTTCAACACATGACATATGTTTTAAGACAATAGCAAGTTTTAGATTAATTTAGGTGAACCCTAAACAGTTTTTTTTAATAAAGATAAGTAGATTGGTTAAATGTATTTGTATACTATATAATGATTATTTTCTATTGTATCATTCCGTATGTTATTTTTGTACAATACTTGGTTTGGCCTTTCATGTTTTGTTTTTAATTACATATTAATTATCTTGCTTTGACAGAAATGAAAAAGAAATGTTTATTTTTGTGTTACATGTACAACCACGGGGCCACAGATCTGTTTAATTTGAGTATATTGGTATAAAAAGTTGGTGTAATAGTGCACAGTGTTTTTGTTCAATTTGTTTTGTTCATTTCAGTACTCATTATTTTTAAGAAATATTGTTCATACCAGCATTTTAAAATGTAAATAGATGATATATTTTGCCCATAATAAACTAAGTATTTTTATTTGCCTATTTTTGTCATTTTCAAAATCCCAGATTTTCCTAAACTTTTACAAATTAGCTATGTACAGGGAATGCATTATTTAAATTGTAGTTTGTCAGTCTTGCAAGTTTTTATACTTAAAATTATAAATCTATAATGAAGGTTAGGCATAGGTTGGCATGAAAATATGCAATGAGGAGAGGATGGGGATATCAGAAAGTGTTAAGATTGAATGTGGATGGCTACAAAGGTACAGGAAGACCGAAGAAAACATTGGATTGTGTGAAAGTGGATATGCTTAAGAAGGGAGTGGATTCAGAAGGGTGATAGAAATTTATGGAAGATCAGCGCATACCGTGTCGACACTGAAGGGACAAGGGTATGTAAGGGTTGATGATTAATGATGAAGTAGCTAATAAATTTTATTGGTTATGAGTTTGGAGATTAAATACTCGAATGATTATAAGTTGCTTAGACATGTATAATAGTTACAGAAATGGATGCGTAGAAAAATAGTCCAGACCAAATGGTTATACTTGCCGGAACCGTACACAGATGCTATGATTCTCTGTTTAAACCGGGCGTAGACTCACACACGTACAACTTTTTATAAATTTACTCAAAAACTCAGGTTTTTCGTGCGTTTTTTTTTTCATTTTTAAGGAGCAACCATCCTATTTTAATTTTAGTTTTTTTTGTAGTTTTAGAGATATAGCTCTTGTAACACAAACTCATCTGACGTTTAAATAAAATAAACCATAGAGACCAGGTTTTTCTTGATCATAGATTCTAGAGTTCTTGAAAAAATCTGACATCTGACTTTGACGTTTGATTTGGTCGCCATCCGCGAGTTTTTATTCATATTTTATCAAAATGTCCCTGTGGTCGGCATTGAATCGCAATGTATTCAAGCGAACTTCTACGTTCGCTTTGGTCGTAGCCGGTGGAACTTTCTTTTTTGAAAGAACCTTTGAGGTCATCTCAGTTAGCATCTTTGAAACTATCAACAAAGGGGTGAGTATTTTGTTATGTAATTTTCACTCATTTGGAAAAGTTTAGGCGTACAATATAGTAAGAAAGTATTTGATTCTTAGAACTATCTCAGTATAACATTATATAACGCATTACTGAATATAAAATTCGAGTAGATTTTAACCTTCAAATGAATTCTGAATATAGTAGACATTGACTTATTTATGAAAATCTTATTTATTATTATTACTACATTAGTAAAGAATCAATTGTTGGATGGAGATTTTATTGCTAGTCTTGGGCTTAATCGGACATCTGCAAGTGCGCACCGTACAATTGGAAAAACGTACTAGTACACACTTTTAGTACCTTAGTACTTCAGATTTGTGAGAACACAATAATATGAAAAGAATATAACAAGCGTTATAGATTACTTCACATCAAATTTTAAGCATGGTCAAACATATGTTATTAGCGAAAATAAATTTAAGATATAAATGATTTTATCCACTTTTGATTCTGATTACCGAAGGTGAATGCTTCAATCTGACAAATTTACAACCATATCAAACAAAGAAGAGGCGAACACCAATATAGTGTTGTGTACTAAAAGTGCCAAATGTCCCATTAACAGAAGCCGTTCGGTAACATTACTTTTAGTACAGTGCCGAGTAACATTACTTTTTAATACATCATACATGTACTACCCAAGACTATATATTGCCAGTTGTCCAAAATAAACAGTTCATTGGTATTTCAAAAGATAAACCTTGCATCATTAAATATGTAAAATGCTGTCTAGTACTTCTCATATTGCCTAAATAGGAAAATAAAAATCGTAGCTTGGGGGTGTTCGCCTTCTTTATAACATCACTTTATTAGTGCAAAAAAATTAGTTCCATATTTTTCTAAAACATATAAATTGTAATAAAGGTTGAAATGTATGGAGTTTGATTTTACACTAACATTAACTAGTTACAATATAATATAATTTATTTCATTTATTATATAAATAAAATTGTTAATTTTTTATTCTTAATTTTTCAGAAACTGTGGAAGGACATCAAACACAAGTATGAATAAAATACAATGAAAACAGCAATTATTATTATAATATAATTTATTAGAATAATACAACTTTGATTAAATTATGTTAAATAACTAAAAAAATGTTTTATTTAATATTACATTGAAAAACACTTAATAATAGCGACTAGTGCCATTTTACATATTCCTGATCTAATATTCACCTTTTTATATTTAAATCTTGAAATGTCAAATGCATACTTTATTATGGTTAATTTCTACTTATTGTTACTATTTTATGAAATATTACATTTATTTTACAGGCTTTTTTGTATGAAATGAATTTAATGTAGATTGTGTATTTAAAAGTCATTATTCCAATTATAGAGAGCTTGGTAAATTACAGTATTAAACACTAAATTAGGAACATAAATCTTTCATGTGTGCAGAAGTATTTACAATAATATAATTAAAAAATCTATATACTAAACTAATCTGCGATTTAAATAGTAAATTTTAGTTCACCTTCAGTCTTAATATACTGGATAACTGAAGGTTTATAACTGGCTGTAGATATATTCTTTATAAATTCTAGTGCTAAAATTACATAATAAATGCAGGAACAGTCCTTTACTATTAGCAGAGTGCTTGGCACAAAAATATTGATATATAAGGTTTTGTTCAAATTATTTGTTGAAGCAAAACACAACACTAACACCCATTCCCAATATGTTAATGGGAAAACATATACTTTGCTCAGTTCATTCCGCTTAAATTTTTACCGCATTTATTTGTAAGGCTGCTAGTTTTCAATATTATAGAGAATAGTAATTTGCGACTATATTAATTTAACATAATGTACATAACAGTGACAATATTAAATATTTAGAGTGCCTTTACATTCGTATTTACTTAAAAAAAAAAACAATTTCTTCAATCAACTTTCATAAAAGAATGTTTTTTTTTATCATTTTTTTTCATCTTGTTACTTATGACATGCTTAACATTTCCATTCAAATCCATTGTTATTTATTAATCTTAACTTCATGTCTTACCAGCACCTTTGAGTTTCCAATTCCTTACATAATCAGAGTGAATCTGATACTTATATGATGGGCTCTGCTGATGTGGAAGGTGCGAGGGCACACCGGGGCTGCGTCTGTGCAGGAATATCGAACTTACCTTCTTCAGCTAAGGTCAACACAATGTCAACTAGCAATGGCTGAGCCAGATTCTTGATAGCTTCTTGACGAGCCACCTGCGGAACAATTATATGTTCTTGAATGTGTTTTGAATATGGTGGAACAATTAATTTATTAATTTTTGTATAATACAAATAATGGCAATACAAAGTGTGGATTTTTTACGTAAAATAATCATACTAATATAAAAAATGAGAAATGTTGGATGTATGATTGTTATCATGTTATTGTTATCATCATGAATAATGGTTTAACATCTTGATGTAATTTGCCTCAGATATAAAACATAGTCTGGAAGAACATAGGACGACGTCACGAGTAGAAGCTAGTATAAAAATATAAGTAACTGTCATAGAAAATAAATCAAACACCATGCATTTTACATTTACTAAAACATAAAGCGAACAGAAAGCACATGAAAGTTGCGAAATAGGTTGAATTAGAGAAGATAGGAATTAGTTTAAAATTGTACCACAAACTGGCAGATAAATTTTAGTGGGTTTGTTTTTTGTTTGGGTGGCAGATAAATTATAGTACTACAAAACACAAGAGGTATAAAAAAAACTTAGACGGTGACAATCACTGACCTCTATAAATGGACAGGCTAAATCACGATATTTCGTGTTGTTTTATTTTTGTAATTTTTGAGCTGACGGTTAATATACTACAGATAAAATTAATTGTAAGCAACTTTAATAGACGCAAAGTTAGGAAGCAAAAGATGTAATTTCCAAGCAATGTCTTATCCATTTTTAGAGATCAGTGGTCAACCCACGGTTAGGTAGAAGCACTGACAAGCACAGTTAGTACGAACATACGTACATTGCGACTCACCACAGCGAACTGGTGTGCGATCATTTTAAGCGCATATTCCTTTATATCTGTGGCGTGCATTCTGTCCGCCGCCTGCAGGATCGCGAGCACATTATCCGGGGACACGTTGGTCTGCAGGTTGTGTTTGCAGAACACTTGTAGACGGTTGTTTGTGAACCCTGAATAATAGTTAGTATTGAAGTACACGTCCGCACGCCACGTGGCAGGTGATAGAATGCGACAGTGCTGCCATCACATCGATCACTTTATATCAACAATGTTTTCTTCTCTACATTTGGGTTGCACTTGTTGTGATTAAAAAAAACTTGCCTTATACTTATTTTAAGTGTAAATTGTTTACAAAATATAATATTACCGTAAAGTCAAGATAAACTTTCCAGTATTTGACGTACTGGGAATTATTTATTGATCCCTTAAGTAGCTTAGTAATTCTTAACGACCATTTATCATCTGAATATGAGTGTAATACTCACCATAGTATATGGGAGCTTGGAAGAGATATAGCGAATCTTCAGTAGGCATGTTAGTCTCGCCGTAGTAAATGTAGCGCAGGAGCGAGTCGAACGCCGGCTCCGACGGCACGGAGTCGCAGATTTGAATCTGAAAATAAACCATGAAACATTAACTTAATAAACTAAAATACTATAAACAGTGTAGTTAAATAAACTATGTATAAAATTTTAGTTGTTGGTCATATATTAAAATATAATTTGACAACCACAAGTGGGTTTTTTAGAAAATATTAAAGTTCGATAAGAAAACAAAATATTTGGATGAATAAATGTATGATACATGTGAAAATTAAATTTCGGATATTTCTCATAATATCATAAACGCGAATGTTTAGATGGATGGATGTTTGAATTTGTAGCCTAAACGGTTGAACGGGTCTCGATAAAATTTAACTCATATGTAGACTATATAATTTTTTAATTCCACAAAAGCGACGGGCGAAAGCTCCCTTATCTATATATATGCTAATATAATAAAGCATAAAAACGCACTACTTTGTGGTGTATGATGTTAGCAATCACAGCATATTTTTTAAAAAAGGTTTATTTTAATAAAAAGCCCTACACTTGCATCACGCTTTAGCCTATATATTTTAACGCCATTACTTAGAGGGTAAATATTTTGGATAGAAATCCTAAAGTAGGAAAGAGACCATAAGTTGCTGCCAACATCAAGGAAGCAAGGTTGTCATCATGTCATGTCAAATGTCAAAAACATTTGCAATTGATAATTTGAGTAATGTAAAAATGAAATTTTCATGCAGATGAAGCCGGGAACAGCTAGTACTGTTATAAATGTTTATTTACGTTAACGATATTATTCCTGGGCGAGAATGATCTGAACATGGCTTCGAAGTAGGCAGCGCGCGCGGCCAGTATGGAACGGTGCGCCGGCCGCGACACGCCGCCCACGCGCAGCGTCACGTCGCTCAGCTCCGCCCCGCCCGACAGGAACATGCACAGGTCCTGCTCCAGCGTCGTACCTGCTGTTGCACTATACATATTAATCAATATTACAATATTACAATATTAAAAAATACTTAATTTAGACATTTGGAATAAAATAAATTAAAGTTAAGGTATAATAATTCTAGAATTTAGTTTGCAGTTACGTCCAGGGGGGGAACTGACTACTACTGCATATGGCCGATTTTTAACTATACTAATATAATAAATCGTAAACACAGACTTCTAATGTAGAACTAGCTTTCGCCCGCGATACTGGCCGCGTGGAATTAAATTAAAAAAAAGTGAAATTAAGCAATAAAGTGAAATTTAAAAAAAAACACACATAAATCAGCCGTTTTGGCTACAAACCCAAACGCACATCCATTCATTCATCTAATCTTTCGCATTTATAATTTTATTGGTATTAGTATAGTATCATGTCAGCAATCATAGAATATTTTAAAAAAATTCCGCTTTATTTACGTAAACTTACCACACTATTTATGCTATATATTTTCATACTTTTAAACATACTGCCAAAAATCGAGAACAAAAAAAAATTATTTTACAATAACTACAAAATACGTGTTTGAATTGTTTTCGGTGAGACTTCACTTCATTTTTGCAGTAAATGAAAATATCTTAATTTATTAACGAGGTGATGAGGGAGTTACCCAGAGCATCGTCAGCGGCGTCGCCGGCGGGCGGCTTGAACGGCAGCGGCTGCTGGCGGCGCCGGATGATCTCCACCATCAGGTTGCGCTCCATCTGCTCGAACTCCTTCGACATCACGATCGGCGTGAAGTTGTAGTCCTTTATTATAAACCTAAAAACAAACAAGTACAGTTCTAGTTTTATAAACTTGCTGTCGCTAGTGACTTCGTCTACGTATAATTTTAAAAAATGCAACCTATATTCGTCAGCGTTACCGTAGTTTTCTAATAGGGAAAGAATATTTTGACAGTGGTAGTGCCCGCTTTAACATCTTAGCACTGCAGGGCCGGCACGCCCGGTGTAATACCACGACCACACAGAAGACAGGCGTCAAATGTGGTGCCGAAGGCCTAATTTAAGTCCCTTTTTCTTTACCACCCTTTTCTTATAAGGAGAGGATGGGAAGGGGAAGTGGATTTGACGGTGGAGGAGATGCGTAGGAAGGGGAAATATCCTCTTTATATGCGTCTCCTCGTCCGTCGTATAAGGGTAGGCAACGCATCTGCAATTGCGGATGTCTATGGGCAGCGGTCGCTTTGCCATTTTGGCGGATTCAGGTGGCCGCTTGCTCGTTTGCCACCATATGTTATAAAAAAAAATCCGTCTACTATATCTTATTAATATTATAAATGCGAAAGTTTAGATGGATGGAGAGATTTTTGTTAGAGTTTGTAGCTAAAACGGCTGAACCGATTTTGATGAAATTTGGTATAGATGTATAGGATGGTATGGAAGAAAACATAGGCTACTCACTTTTGTTTTTTTAATCCCACGCGGACGAAGTCGCGGGCAAAAGCTAGTATTCAATAAAAACGTGTCTTTTTTCATTGTCTCTGATTAAATATGTTAAATTCTCTTTAGTTTTAACTTTTCAGTACAATTTCAGCTTTCATACTACGGTCCTCGAAAGCTGGGCACTGCTTTATTATGTGTAAGACTTCGCCCCGTGCGTAAACGACGCATTAGGTATTGTGCATCATCACTCTCTTCGGGTGAGATCGCGGTCAAGCGCTAGCTTAAAAAACATAAAAAAGAGGTGATGCCAACCGTAAGCAGTACTCCTTGATGCAGCAGAGGTTGGAGAGGTGCGCGGCGTGCAGCGCCTTCAGCACGTTGCCGAGGCAGAGGTTGGCGCGCAGGAAGGCGGCGCACAGGCCGCACAGCCGCGGGATGCGCAGCCGCAGCGACAGCCGCAGCACCTCCATCACCAGCTGGATGGTGTCGTCGGACGCGGGCCGCTCCTCCATCACTGCAAAGACACAACTAACCGAGCTAAACTACCTTTCTTCCGCTCCAGCCGTTATGCTCTTCTATTTAGCGCCCGTTTAAACCTTAAGGACTCCATAATCCAACCATCATCCAATCAAGCGAAAGTTTAATTGGATGGATATTTGAAACTCATAGACTGCAATAGTAATGTTTTTGAAATTCCATGCAGACGTAGTCGCGAGCAACATCTAGTAGTTATATTTTCATTCCTCATAGTATAAAGAAAGTGGTTCAAACTTCATATGTCAATGTCATTAACTCTAATTAAATAACTAGTTTTCGCCTGCGACTCTATCTGCGTGGAATTAAAAAAAAAAAACAAAAGTAAGTAATCCATCTAAACTTTTGCATTTTTAATATTAAAATAAATAACTTACGTCTCTCAGTGGGATCGATCCTATCAGTGTATATGTAGGTGAGCACCATGCGGAAGGCCTCAGGCCTGGCCTCGGGCAGGTGTATGACGAGGTCGGGCTTGCCCTGGTAGTTGTAGGGCTCCGGGGCCTTCGCCTCACCCGCCGCAACGCGCGCTGACAGCTCCTCACGAGCTTCCCTATAAGTGTCACGTGCTCATAAATATTTCGTCTCTACTTTTACAATAAGAGTGAAAGAGAAGAAAATATAGGGTGATGTTTTCACGTATATATTAATTCTTTGTAACAGCCTGTAACCTAAATTACTGAACCGATTATGTGGTATCACACCGGCGAAAATATCATTCGATTCGTATTATCCCTTAAGAGTGCCGTAAGATTACAAACAGTAGGAACTTTATTGCTGTTTAAGTATTAGAATTAAAACTTCCGTCTCTGTTGTATCCAATGAGTATGAGGGAGATGGCAATATTTATACAAGTTTAGTAATCGTACATGATCTTATCACGCAGACAGGTGGAGCGCGCGGCGAGGAGTGCCTGGTGCGCCAGTACAGCTGCAGGCTCCTCGCCCACCAGCAGCATCACGTCGCAGAACTGCTCCGAGCGCAGGATGCGGCCCAGATCCTCTTGCAGCGTGCAGCGAGGGTAGTTCGACAACTGACGATGATAAGAGAATTAACACCTTGCCACTGACACTTTTGGCGAGTTCATTCTAGAAATAAAAATTGAGATTTTCTAAACAATAATGGGCATACTAAACATTAAGCGAGAGAGAGAGAGAGAGATGAAAGAATAGCATGAGAGAGGGAGAGAGAGATAAAACAAATAGCATGGAATATGTTAAGGACATTGAACAAATTATTAACGTTTATATATTTGCCTATATTGTGAAATAGTCATTCTAAATATAATTTTACACTCTCGTAGTGTTTGTAAATGTATTTTTTATAAAATAAGGTCATGCAAAAAAATTTTAATGACTTACTTTTTATAAAGAGGAAAAATTTGTTTTTTTGTACATAAAACTATAGGCCGATATCAAAAATTCTTTCACCATTCAAAAGCGATATCAGTAAGTAACATAGGCTATACTTCTTTTTTTTATTCCACGCAAATACTTCACGAGCAACAGTTAGTAATTAACCTAAAGTATGGATATATAAAAATGATTAACCTGGAAGCGGTACAGTTCCCCGCTGCGGACATTGTTGTCGACAGTGCCGCCGAAGATGTACATGGCGTCGCCCACCACCGCGCCCGCGTGGAACAGCCGCCCCGACGGCACCTGCGACTCCGCCGCCGGCTGGATCATCGCCCTGACATTATACAATTAACTCAATCTATACTCTATAATCTTACTAATATTATAAATGAGAAAGTTTAGATGGATGTTTGTTCTTGTAGCCTAAACGACTGTTGTAGCCCACTGTGAAGTGATATTTACCACATCTGCGTGTCGAGGTCGAAGCAGTAGACGTCGGAGGGCATAGTGCTGTCGGCGGCGCCGCCGAACACGTACAGGTGCCGGTTGTGCGCCAGCATCGTGTGCCCGTAGCGCCGCGCCGGCGCCGGGCCCGCGCTGCGCAGCAGGTGCTCTGTGCAGATACGACTCCAACTGTTAAAAACATTTCATTTATCTAAGAGAATTTTATTGACGAGTGTGGAGGTACACCGGCAGAGGTACACTTAGAAAGAGATGGATGGATTGCGTGAAAAGTAACAAGATCAAGAACAAGGGTAGAACCAGCTTTGGCGCCAGG